CTTTCTTTCTTTCTTTCTTTCTTTCTTTCTTTCTTTCTTTCTTTCTTTCTTTCTATTTTACATTCATGTGTTGATTTAATGTGGGGTGCGTGTATGAAGGGACATGACACTTTGTATATGTAGTGCTCAGAAAGATAGATTTGAGTCCTGGAGAGCAAACTCAGATCACTGGGCTTATGTAGTGAGCTGTCTTGCCAACTTCAAAGTGACTTTTAAATAGGCTCCAGGGAAGGCTGGATTTCATGAGGGTGTGTCTAACTTACACGTCAGTGCTGGTAGCTATTGTTCTTAGGACGGCCCCATTGGTTTCACTGCTGGACAGTTGTGAAACTCCAACTAATCTCCTGCTTCTGAGCTCTAACCCATAATCCATAATCTATGTCACCAGGACACAGAGTTTGGAGACCCCCAACTCTTCAGTTGTCACAAGCTAAGGATCCACTGCACCTCCACTGGCAGTGGTGGCTAGATGTGGTGCAGTTCAGGCCAGGAGACTCCGTGTGATATAGCTAAATGAGTCTGGGATCCTGCTTTATAAGCTATAAAGGCAGTTGATCATAACAACAAGAAGCCATTTATCATCACTCCAAGACATGTGGCTTTCTAAGTCCCGTGCTCTGAGCGTATGTTAGCTCAGTTGATGTCTGTGGATGCTGTAATGAAACCAGTTAGCAGATAAAGAAAACAAGGTGACGTGACTTTCCTGTAGCTATATAGGGAGTAAATGGCAGAGCTCTGGTATGGGTTCAGATTCTCCATTAATCATGAAGCCAAACTAAACTATGCTTTAGCACATTCTGTCATTAAAAGTCTAGAATGAGCTACAAATGCATTTGCTCTATCTCTGTTAAAACTTTTAAAGTTTTTCAGTTTCTGGATTACCTCACTCAGGATGATCTTTTCTAGTTCTATCCATTTGCCTGCAAATTTCATGATTTCCTTGATGGAGTCAATTGGCAGTTCAGTCTCTGTGTGGAATTTCTGAGTAAGGGGAGCAGGGGCTGCCTCTTTCATGAACTCGGTTGCCTGCTTTTTCATCACTTGCCCCTGGCGGTGTGCCCTTGCCAGGCCACTGAGGAAGAGGATTCAAGCAGTCTTGAGGAGACTTGATAAGCTATGGGCAAATGACAATAGTGGAGAACTCCCCTTTCAGTGGACTAAGGTAAGGGGATGGGGGGAAGAGAGGGAGGGGGGACTGGGAGGATTTGAAGAGGGAGCTTCAATCAGGATATACAATGAATAAATTGTGAAAAAAAAACTTTTAAAGTTTAGCTTATTATTCAAAACTTTAATTCATGTGTAATCTTAGGAAGGAGGCTAAGTATTGCAGTAACCCACCAGGTTTTCTTGCTCAACTCAGGCCCTACGCTAAGAAGAACAGCTATGAAGACCCTGCATCACCCTACCCGGTGAGGACAGGGGAATAAAAGTTCTGGTAAGTCACAGAAAGAAGTGATTAAACCTTCATGTGTCCTTCATCCGGTACAGCTGGGGCAGGGCTAAGCAGTGTGTGACAGGGATTCACTCGCTGGCCTGTCTTCCAGGCTCTTCTTCTGTGACACTTTGTTTTTCTCCTGTCAAGGGAAACTAGCTATGGTGATGCATCTCTGTGATTCTGAGGCAGGAGCATCACATTTCCATCTAGCTTGGGCTACATTGTAAGAACCTGCCTCAGAAAACATAAAGGAAACAGGAAAGAAAAAAAAAAAAACTTGCTGAAAAGAAAATAAGCAAGGGCTGGAGAGAAGGAAGGCTCGGTGATTTAGAGCCCTTGCAGCTCCTGGTTCCTAGCACCCATGTTGGGTGGCTCACCACCATCCACACCTCTAGTTCTGGCCTCCTTGAGCACTTGTGCTCACATGCACACATCCCCAAGCAAGCACACATACCTACACGTGATTACAAGTAACAACAAATCTTAAAAACAGCAGCGACAACAACAGAACACCCAAAAAAGAAAAGAAAAGCAAACAAACAAACAAGATAAGCCAAATAAGAAGCAAAAAGACAAGGGTGCTTTGAAAAATCAGGGTGTGAAGCACAGAATCCTCCATTTCCCCTGGGTCTTGCCGGGTTTTGGTTTGGTTTGGTTTTTTCTTTCCCCTTTTTGTTTGGTGTTTAAACAGTGTTTCAAGGTGTGATGCTGTTCAGTGTGCAGTTACTTCAGGAACAAAAAGAAAGGAGCTAGGGCTGGACTTTACAAAAGGAAAGGAATTCCCACAGGAGAGGACCCTTTGGCGTTGGCTCAGAGAAAGAACAGGGGTTTCCCAGCTGCACGTGGCAGCAGTTCTGCGGGCAAACAGGACAGCGTACAAACAAGAAATGAGGCTAGAATTCTCACGCTACCTTGTGTTAAAATGAAAATGGAAGCTTGGTGCCAGTGCCATGCACAGTAATGGAAAGAGACGACTCTGGAAGAGAGGCGGCGGAAAGCAGCTAGACTGGGAGAGCCTTTTCCGAGCTTTCTTTTTTTTATTTTTTATTTAACTTTTATTAATTACACTTTATTCATTTTGTATCCCCTCCTTCCTCCCTTCCCAGTCCCAACTTCCCCCCCTTCTGCATGCATGCCCCTCCCCAAGTCCACTGATAGGGGAGGTCCTCCTCTCCTTCTTTCTGATCTTAGTCTATCAGTTCTCATCAGAAGTGGCTGCATTGTCAGGGTTCTAGGTTATCTCCATGAATAGTCCTTGGTTGGAGTATGAGTCTCTGGGAAGTTCCCTGTGTTCAAATTTTCTTGTTCTGTTGCTCTCCTTGTGGAGTTCCTGTCCTCTCCAGCTCTTACTATTTCCCACTTCTTACATAAAATTTCTTTCACTCTGCCATCAGGCTCAGCAGCAGATTCCGAGCTTTCTTATTCATCCCTTTGACTAGAGAAAGAGGATTTCATCTGTCATTACTGAAAGCATAGTGACAGTCGAGAACCCTCACTCTGTAGCTCATGAACGGTGTCTTTCCCACTACAGTACCAATAATGAAGGAGAAATTATACAGTGTCATGGTTAAGAAGCTTGGTTTCCACTGTTTGTACTGTGACTAGGATCAAGATTTTGGACAACACTTAAGTATCAAATACCTCGGCTGACCAGGTAAGGCTATTGGGGAAATATCCCTCATATTGATGTTTATAAAATATATTATCAAAGCCAGGCATGGTGACACACACCTGTGATCACAGCACTCTGGGAGGCAAAAGCAGGTGGACCTCTGAGAGTTTGAAGTCAGCCTGGTCTGCAAAGTTAGTTCAAGACAACAAAAAGCTACACATAGAAACCCTGTGTCGAAAAACCAAAAATTTCTAAATATACTATCTAGAGTATATAGGCTTAGTACATGTCAACTAGAATTATGTGTGTGTGTGTGTGTATAGCATAACATCTTTATCTACATGAGAAGAAATTTCCCAAATCAGAGTACTCAGGATATAGCTAAGTGTGATAGTGCACACATCTGTAATCCCAGCGCCGAGGCTGCGGCAGAATTATAAAGTTGAGGTCAGTCTAGGCCACATAGCAAGACCCTTTCCTTTTGTTTGTTTGTTTGTTTGTTTTAAGAATATTCAGAACATAAATACTTTGGGAAAAATAAGATAAGGAAAAGTCTGCATGTGATATTAAATTAGAAGCTATTGTTTCATTTTTCCAAACAAAAGAAAAGGGGGGGGGCATTCTTTCATTCCTCATTCCTTTGATTATGAGGGACAAAGCAAAAGAAAAAATAAGTTTATTTACTGTAAAGAAAAACACATTAACCTCAAGACTAGGAAGCATGATAAGAAAAATGTAAAATTCCAAGGGTTGGTGCATGAACGTTTACAATTTAGTGGCATGTTAGCTAAATACTCAGAAAAGCCATTTAAGGAAAGAACACTGCCCTGGAAGGAATTACCTATACATGGATTCCAGCATTTACCATCTCTGCCTTTATACATCTTTAACTAGGTGCACCTCTAGGTCTTTTCTTACTCAAACAGTAGAATTTGTGCCTCCAAAGAGAACTGTACACTTCATTCTAAAGTTGCTTTTCCACTCTGTAGACTGGGATACCCTTTTGCCAATTCAACATCACCTCTCAGAAGAGGTCCAATGCTACATCTGACCCCTTCTGGCAAATTAAATACAATTATGCAAACTACGAGGATTTAGGCCTAATCTAATTAATATAGTACATACGAAACAGATAATAATTTCCCTGGTGGAAAACTAGCTTGTCTTATTTTGTGTTTGAACTAAGGCTTAGGAAAACATTGCCTCCTGTAAGAAAAAATGTCATTATCTTCTAGGTTCTGTTTGCTCAGAGCCCCCATAACAGGCATGTTTAAAAAATAAATAAAAAGATCAAAATTGGAATCTTCAAGTAATAACATTTTTTTTTCAAAATTTACTAAAGAAAATATTCTATGAACTAGAAAAAAAGAGAGAAAGATTTTATTCATAGGTGATTTGTTTCTTTCTTACCAAGCACAAACAATACTACCGTGGCAAATACATTTAATGAGGATTTCTGTTCACCTAAATATAAAAGGGTAAACTCGACCTGGATTAAATGCATCCCGATCAATGCCAATCACAAACTTTCTGAATCCCGAAGCTGAGTACACTCCTGTCTGAATGCATGAATTTCATTAGCATTAATCAGCGTGCTTCAGGAACACCAAGAGGAAAACAGGAAGGAATGTTTTTTTTCCCCATTCTTTCACCAAGAGAACTAGAAAAGGGATCTGACCGGGGTGAAGGGATACGCCTTTCTTTCCCTTCTTCCCAAAAAGAGTGAATTTCATAATGAAGAGATCCTGGTTTAGCGGGAAATGGAATGGGAGGACCAAGACAGATCTTTCTCAGGCCTGCGCCTCTGTCCTGGCATTGTCATTTCCAACTGTGTGAACACAGCCTTGGCTTATTTGTTCCTTAGGTTTTCAGGGGCACTGCCAATAAGCATGCCAGCTCTCAAGATACAATGATGCCCAGCCCACAAGGGCCTGGACTTTCTTCCTGAGTGACGGTAATATCATAGCGCCTTCTCAGCAGCTGTTAGGCAAAATAGTTTCTAGACAATAACGGCCTGTGTGAGCTTTTCACACTAGCAGAGAAACTGCTGGAGTCGAGGGAAGAAACGTTCTGCTGAGAATTCTAACACTTGGCTGTCTTTCTTCATCTGCTTATCAGTCTGGAATCACAAACATCTTCCTAAGAAATACGTGGTAGAAGCAGCAGTGTTTTTGTGCATGACTTGTACGAACAGGCTAGTAAGCAAGCATATTTCTGAGTGGTATCGGGGGCTATTTTGTTTTGCTGTGAGGTCTCCCGGAGACAGAGCTAAAACCTCTTGGTTGGTAATGGAGTGTGGCACAGGTTCATATCAAAGGATAGTGGTGGGGACCACAGTCACGTGGCCACATGGATTTTCCTACCAGATATTATTAAAGAGGGAAAGGCTATATTGTAATAGGAAAGAGGCCCCAAATATTTTATAAGAAGAACTGAAATAAGTGATTTTGTTTCTTGGATTTGCTCTGCAATCGTATGGTGTGCGGTGGATAGATAAACCTCGGATGAAATAAGATGGATTGAGAGCTGGTGGGTATTAAGGCTGGGTGGTAGATATGGGAGATTTATTATTACAGTCTTCTCTGGCCATATATGTTATGACCGTTTGTCTCCCTGGTAAACTCACAGTTTATATTCACAGCGTTTGTCAGCCACTGCTATATGTGTCAAAGTGTGAAGAGTTGAGAATGCAGCTTACTAGAGCATATACTTAGCAGATCTGTAGTCCTGGGTTTGAATCCAGCTTTAATTTTTTTCTTAAATGACAAGTAATCTTAGGCTTAAAGTTTCTTGCCTTAGGAACCCATCTCACAGTTGTGAGAAAACATCCACTAAAGCAAAGGTACTGCTTGACAAGAATATAAAAATCACAATGCATTTCTAAAGTTGCCTGTTAAACCCTTTCACTCAGCTCTTCTCTTCCCAACTATTTTCCCTGTATTTTTCTTAATTATTTATTCACTTTAAATCCTGCTTGTAGCCCCCTCCCTCTTCTATTCCTGGTCCCACTCTCCCTTCCTCTTCCCCCATCCCTTCTCCCCTATTCCTCAGACAAGGGTCCCCCCTTCTTTCAGTTTGGAGATAGCGACCAGTTTCAATTTTTAAGTGGCAAAGGTAATTTAGGATACCTCCCTTTGTCTATGTCAATCACAACAAACTTGCTTTCAGCAACTGCTCCACTTTTCCCCAGCCTTGGCAAGCTGCTCAGGACAACATTTCCTTCTTTTCATCCCTGTGCATGTTGATTGGGGCTCACAGGGCGTAGGCTTTTCCCATAATCCAGCCTGGTGTTTTACACCAGGGAGTTACAATGTGTGTAGACTATATTTTTTTTCCACCCACTTTTAGTCGGAGAACTCCGTGTTCTCATAGTTTGAGCAAAGTTATATTTAAGACTTACCCATCTCAGTGTTTATTAAGATTGAATCCCATTTTCATCTTGATGGGTTCTTGTCTATTTGCCCCAAAGATAAATTGAAACATCCTGTTTGGTATGGTAGTATTCCTGTGTGTGATGTCAAGTTGTTTTTAGTTTTTGTTTTGTTATTTAGGTCTATGTGATTCCATCAGGGTAACTGACTTCCTAATTAGTCTTTAATAACAATTCCTGGAACACTGTGATGTCAATCGCACATCAGCTAGGTGAGTTATATTCGGGGTCAAGGATTCTGTGGTCAGGTCATGTGTATGTGCTAGCTCTTTCAGTGAAAGCAAATTGTCACAATTAGTCACACAAAACCATGGAATTAGTTCACTATAGATTCTCACATTCTTTTCTCTTGCCTGATGTTCGCAGGGGCAGGAAGGTAGGCTCTACCATGGAGCTAGAGTAGGGAATTATGACTCTAGAGATCTTGAGTTAGGAACAAGTAGTCCAGGTGGTTTTACTTGAGTTAACTGATCATTTGCCATGATTTTGTTGCTCACGATTTGCTTTTTGCTGCCTTCGGTAAGTTTTAGAGATCATTTTATGGCTCTCTCTTTATCCCAGTGCTCTTCATCTCAGGGAATACTATATAAGCACTCTTCCATTGAATGTGTGCATTTTCCGGCCCCCAACTATATGCATTTCTTGCTCAGTGACGTGTTTCCAGAGCATACTGATCAGTGATCTTTAAAGGTTTTGTTTCATATTTACTTATGTGTGAGCACTTGCACAGGAGTGCAGTGCTTTCTGGAGGAGGCCGGAAGGGGAAGTTAGATCTCCTGGAGCTAAAGTTACAGGCAATATGGGGTAAACCAGTGTGGCCATAAACACTCTTAGCTGTCGAGACACCTCTCTCTAGCCTGCATAGTGATCTTTAAACAGTTTTACTCTCATTCACTCAATGGAAATTTGAAATTTTTTTGTGAATACTCCTTACAAATTGTCAAACCTTTGAACTGTAAATTCAGACAGAAGGACGCAACTTCTTTCACGTTATATTCACTTAACAAAGTGGCTCTATCACTGTTTATATGCTGACATGTAGTCTAAATACCACAGCAATGTGGTACTGCTGTCGCCCATTTCAAAGTTAGAAAAGTAAGTGTAATTTAAAAGGCAAAGGCTAAGCTCTATTTAAGAAACATTTACATTTCTTCTTTGTTTTCATCTCTTTTTCCCATGGAATTCTATTCTGTGCTTATCTTTGAACAGTTTGACAATCCCATCATGCTTCCCTTCAACAAAAAATATTTACATAAATTAAAACTTCAAATTATAAGAATTTCCTGTAATCGTGATACTCAAAATTGTTTTGGAATCAGTCACGACTGCCATTATTATTATTAATATAAAAGAAACCCCAAAACACACAAAGGACAAAAATCTATGTATTTAACAGCTCTCGAGGTAAATGGTGAAGTAGAGTTTTCTGTAAAAGTGTGTCATTTTGTTTGTTTGTTTGTTTCTCTGTGTGTAGCATTGGCTCTCCTGGACTCTCTTTGTAGACTAAGCAGGCCTTGAACTGACAGAGATTCCCTGCCTCTTCCTCCCAAGTGCTTAAAGGCATGCATTACCACTGCCAGGCCTTATAAAAGTGTGTCTTAATGAAGAAAAT